TAGACTACAGTAGCATAATTAAAATGGGTATGGAAATTCAATTTTGAGTCAAAATAGACACCTTAATCTTTCGCTTTAACTCCGGTATTTGTGAAACGATTTTCAAGCATGAAGATTCATTTTTATAAATACCGCCCAAATTTAACTTAAGGCAATTATTTTAATGGTTGGTTTTGCTAATCTCCAATTCAAGGCGTTTTTCTCTCCCTTACTTCACTACTTAAATATACTTTGAGTGAGAACCGATTTTCATTATCTCCTGTGTCAAGTCCTGTGTAGTGGCGAAATAGAGGATATTTCAATAAAACTTGGCAAATAGACGTAATGCCACGTACTTTTAAGGTCGGTTTTTTTAGTACTCTGTACTAAGATTATTTTGTGTTGTTTTTAGTGTTGGAAGTTAAATAACCTCTAGAATAAAGTTCGAAATTTATGAAGTAACAAATAAATTTGACTTATGTGCTTTAGTCCGCCGAACCTAGATATTTTGTATGAACTTGTCCACACAAGTCCGTGTCCGGTACGGGCCCTCTAGTTCACACAAACTAGCATGACCAGTCCAAATCACGGGCACGGCCCTGGGGGTCGAATGATGCGAATGAAGCTTCATACTTGATACTTGTCTTTTAATTTTGTCGAATATTACTTATTTGACAGTAATTGTTTCGGACGGATGTCGGACGGAGATCGAGAGTAGACAACCTGATGTGTGTGGATAGTCCTTTAAACGGTTGAACATTTTTAAATTAATAAGTCGAAATGTCGGTAAAACTAGGCATTCATTGCGAATTGATTAGCACGACCAATATGTTCGCAAGTGAATATGACTTTAACAAAATGTACCTATCTCTATTCATATTTTATTGATGTTTTTACTACCATCTTATTCGTTTTTTTTAAATACTCCACTAATTTGTCGTTAAAACCAAAAACAAAGATCTGCAACAAGCATATAGAACAATTCGTGAGGTCTGCTAACTCCTTCCGTAGATCAGTTGGAAGAGCGACAGCCCCGGTTTGGCGAGAAAGTCTAGTCCAGCCGGATCAAATATTTTTTTCTTCGTTCGATCTTTGTATCAATAATAACAATGAATTTATTAATGTTGTATTCTATTCAATAACATGATAGTCAATAAAAGAAAACTAATCACAGTGATTCCACTGTGGGTCGCAGCTCGCATTTAGTGACGTTAGATCAATATAAGTTGACGTAATTGACCTAAGTGATGCACTTGATCTAGATTGTTGTGAAGAGATATCCGTGACCGCTAGATATTGTTTCCTTAAGTAGGGTAATATTTGTTATTTCAAACAAAACCAAATAAAACTTTCTGTGCTGGTCTTTCTAAAAAACTTAAATCATACGACGGGAGACTTGGGCATTTTAAAATTACGCCCCTTTCGGAGCGCAGAGAACTATTAGATATGGTTTCCTTTATAAAATTATTAATACACAATAAGGTTGACTGTCCTCAACTGCTTGGTAATTTAAACTTTGAGATTTCCGCCAGACTTCCGGGATTTCACATAAGACTTCTTCACCCACCTCGTCGTAGAACAGTATTAAGTTCCAATTCCCCCATAGTTCGCATATCTAATTTATATAATGACTGCTCCAAACATGCGGATATTTTCGATGACTCACTGATAGGCTTCAGAAACAAAATTCTTAATTTTCTTGGTTCGGGCACATAGCATTCTTTATTATTTAGTATTTGAATCGTGTCGTATATTTTACTTATTAAAAAAATCCTAAATTATTTCTTTTTTATTACTTTTAAAATTATTTTTTACTTTTCCAACTCTGTTTAAACATTTTTTTGCATGAGGAGCTCGCCTATAATTAGTCACTCAGACTAAGTTTTTGAAATGTATTAAAACCTACATGAAATATTGTAGTAACTGTTGGTGTTATAAATAAATAAATAAAAACCAACCAAGCCATGATCACAGCTAACTCTTATGAGAGCTGTAAAGGGCCCGAAACGTTGTTTTTTTAGTCGAAAAACCAAATATACGCGATTTAGATCTGGAAAAAAATAGTTTCATTTCCAATTGCGAAACCCTAAGACCTCGATAAAGTAATGTTATTTAAATCACGATATTTTAGGGGTCATTCTAACCGACAGTACGAAAAACCTTCACTATGCGAAGCCCCATATCAAATCGCAAGTCTAGAGTATTGCGAAGTATGTATGATATAATACAAAAAAGCGTTGATGTTTTGTTTCCGGTTACTTTTAGGTATGAAGAAATATTGAATAAACTAGGTTACGTATTGTTATGCAAGTTACAAAGTAAGCGGTAAATTATACAATAATATTTTAACGTATTGAGGTGACATTATTTAATATGCACCCCCGCCGGTGCATCTACACATCAATAACACCACGCCCGTAAAATATCGTGAAATGAAAAAAATAGCAACCTGTTTGTAAAGGCTGAGTTATATCGGACTCTGTCTCAGCCATATTGGAGGTTCAAGGAACATTTTTTTGTACTGACAATATTGATGAATATTGAATATTTAAATAGTTACTTTATTATATAATTCAATTTTCACGCCAAACGTATAAAAAAATTAACGTGAGAACCTTTGCCTCGCAGCTTAAATTGTTTTTACAGTTAATGTTTTCATTACAGGACACTAGATAAAATCCAAATAACAAAGTCCAAAAATGAACTTGTGCAAACATTTTGTGTAAATGTGAGCATTCCAAATCTTTCAAATGTCTTCAATTTCAAACTTAGTTGTATGTTAATTTTAATCATAATTATGTAATGGGGTTTAGGCCTAATAAATAATTACATAAATATAAATTTCAATGTAATAACAGCACTATTGAGGACCTATTGGTCTATGAAACTCCTAATGAAGGGGTGACCTACCGATGTCACTTAAACGTAGTAGGTTCGTAGATATGTGCATACTTCCAGTGTTCTCCTACGGCGCTCAGACTTGGTATTCGATAGAAGCCCATAAGTTGAAACTCAGGTTTTAGTTTATGGAGCGCAGCATACTGGGTGTAAAGCGGGACTGGGCTCGTCACGTCAGCCGCATGTCGTCGAAGTTGTGGGTCAGGACAACCACAGAGTGGCAACTCAAAAAGGAGATGTGGGAGACCAAGTCAGCGATGGCGGGATGAGCTTAGACTCATTTTTAAAGGTCTGGTTGATCTGGTTGACAGATGTTGCCCAAGATCGAGAAAAAATGGGAAAAAAGGGGGAGGCCGTTGCCTAGCAGTGGGACAAAACGGGCTAAAAAAAAATAGCGCTATGTAATTCTTCCAATCAAAGATTACTAAATAGCAATGGTGGCAATATCTTAATGGTGGCAAACTTTATTCATAGTTATCATTTTGAGATAATCGTAAAATTGACATTTGCGTGTTTGTTGATCGCTGTCAATGTCAACTTGTTTGGGCGAATGACCGGATCGGACTTTGGTTCACTATTTGTAGACAAACCTTTGATCGTGAGACTGATGAAAAAAATGATCGTCTCTAAGAAAATGTAGACTCGTTGTTGTTGCTATCGGCCAGTCTCCATAATGGAAAATAATTGGTTTTTGTAATGTGAAATCACTATATACCCCTTCAGTGGTTTGGTTATCAGGTTCCACAGCTGTGTGACTTCTCATAATTCGAACAACGGATCGCTATCGCAGTCCAATGTGGAAATGTAAACAGTATTCTCGGAACTGCGCCCACAGGCCAAAAACCTCGTCGATCTCTGAAGTCTCCCCGTGCCCTGCACATACGCTCGGCCCTCTAATCGTCGAACTTGAAAGCTAGTCTGAAGTTCATTCATATTCATTATCAAAGTCCATTTTTGAACTCCATAAATTTACGCACGACGACCGGTCTTACTTCATAAATGTATAATGTATTCAATATTTCATAATATTCCACGTTGCGAATAACAAATTTTCGTTTCATATTATAAGTGGTCTTGTAGGGAAGAAATAACAATCTAATATACAGAAAGGAAAAGCCCCTTGATGAGCTAAGACTTGTAGGTACATAATGTACATAAATAGTACATATAATAAAATATATTTATTATCAAACATCCTGAAAGATATTCTCTGTATTATCTACAGACGTCAGTAGAACGTGTACATTATTGTACTTTAAACACAATATCAATTACGATTACGGATATAGCAAAAGTTCTGATAAAAGTGAAAATATTCAAGGAGTTTGATAGTGAAGGGCATAAAGATAAAAAAACGTAGGATTGGACTTAGTAGGACATTGTTGCAAGAGAACAGGACATTGCAAATTTTCTAAGATACGAGTCTTAGAATGTCATTTCTGTCGAACGAAATAGCGGTAGTTTTTTAAATATTGCAAGAAAATAACAAAGAAATACGTGTAAAATAGTAAATAAAAATGTTTGCGTGATGGCACGAAAAACTATTTAAAGATTTTAAAATACAGTTGAAAGTAATGTCTTTAGTCACAGCAATAACACTTGCGCACGGTCAGCCAGTACAATTGTTAACTTATTTATTTGGTTACCTATTCAGTAGTCCGAAATAACATTTTCCAGAAATAACGTTTGGTCGAAATTTCACAACCTCGAAAGTAATTTTGAGAGGAAAATGTTTTTTCTTTTAAACCTAACTTACCGAACCTAATCATGTCTTTGCGATAAACATTCAACATATCCTGAAAGAACAACTGTTTCATTATAATTCGGATTTCGGTGTAATGAAAATTCGAACAAACGTTATTTCGGACAAAAAAATTTTCGAGTTTGTGATAGGTTACCTATTTGTTTGTATGTTTTATTTTACTAACTGCACTGCTAACAACTTTTCTGAAAATGTCCTCCCTTCCTATAAATACATAAGGCAAAATATTTGGTAAAGATTTCCATTTTTTTCAACCAAGACCCGCGACTGAGTTGCCAATTTCCCGCAAATCAGTCTTCAAAAGTTATCAGCCTTAATTAAAAAAATAACAACCTAAACACAACAACCATAACATTCCTACCTTCTATCCAGCTGAAAGCCTTCTTCCTTCTTGGCACCCCTTGTCAGCTTGTTATAGATTTGTGAAGCCGCTTCTGACTTATCGTGAACGGAGTACAGGAAGCAATGCAGCTGCTGTAGTAGATTCAGGCTTAACCTCCATAAGGACTTGCTCATCTTCGGTGTTGATGTTACAAACCTGGGGGAAGGTTGTAGGATAATCATATATGTATGTATAGATAATATTCTAAATAAAAATAATATATTTTTTAAGTTTTTATTGAATGTCACGATGTTCTACCAAGATATTCAAGTAGTGTTCGATCTTTGTATTAATAATTATAACAAACTAGTGGATAATTTCACAAAAATAATTGAATATCATGGTGAAACATCGTGACATTAAATAAAAACTTAAAAATTATAATTATTAAAGCGCCATCTCTAGCTGCTGGTAGCTGTAAAGGTACATGGCTGAGTGAAGAAATAGATTTCTCACAGATACGATGCGCTACGACAAAGAAGTCGTTAAAAAATAAAAGATCAGCAAAAAAACATAAAAAAAATCCTAAGGTCCGTTGGTTCGTTCCGTGTCTTAGTTGGCATAGTGCCTCCAAATCTTTGTATTAATAATTATAAAAAATAGTATAATTGTATAAAAAAATCTTTAAAAAAAGGAAATATGCATCATTTTCGTTTTCAAATTTCTTTGAACTACAATACATAGTTCTGTTCTAATATCGAAGGAAATGTATTAGGCACGTTTGAGGGACTTGTATTACACGTACCTATTGGAAAAAAAGTTCAAGTATCAACAAGAAAAGCAAGCACACATAACTTGAAACAAATCACCACATTTCTACTTATTAGGGAATGTTTAATGTATTTTTTTTGTTATTGTAAATTATGTTATTGGACAAGATGAAAAAAAAATGAGGGCAGGAGATAACAAAGTCATAAATCCAATATTTTTTTGACGAAAAACCCGGTTACTATTGACGGTAGCAAATAATTCCGACTACTTCTCTACTCTAAGTTACGAGGCAAAAATAAGTGGTCCTTAAACAAATAGAATTAATCTGTATATAGTACATAGCATTAGTGTTTATAAAATACTCAATCAGAATGTTTGAAAAGCAAAACAACGTGACTCGTAAATATTTATTGTGTTCTTATAAATACAATAACTTGAATCAAAAACAAGTATGCCTACTGAACTATTCATTGTCCCTCAAATAAACAGGAAGTACACAAGAAGTGACAAAGAAACTTTATCGTTTTGCGATACCGATATCAATTAGTGGCCGAGGTCATACAAGGCACAAGTCATCCTTTATGTTAACATAATAAATGCATTCTGCATTACAAAGCGCACAGGAATTTAAAGTTGAAAAATAAAATTATGTACAGTCTGTCTTTTTTGAAGATGAAGTAAAATTATTGTTCATTGCGCAAAATGTTGCCCACTTGAAAGCAGCTAATGATTACAGTCGATACATATTCTATTGATTATCGACTGAATGTTAGTAACGCTTATGCAATAAATAGCCGAATTCGTTTTATTTCAATTATCATCGGCCCATTCGTGTAACCGCTGGGCCTAGGTTCATTTGAATTGTATTTTTTTGTAAGTTCATATATACATACCCTACATTTAAACTATGTCTTTTAAAAATGCAAAGCAACGAGCCATTAGATTTCATTTTCATTCAATATAAACAATGAATTCCGGCTGTCTTTATTAAATTGTATATGAACAAAAATTTATTTCGTAAAAATAAGAATACAGAAGGCAATAACGCAATTGGGAATCGTTAGAACGTCGTAACATTCACAATTTAGACACATTTGTCAATATTTTACCTTCTTCCTCAAATTATCGATAAAACTGTCGACAACAACTATATGACTATTTAAAATTTTACGAAAACTGGCAATCCTGTAAATAATATTATACTCCGTCTTCAAAAACGACAGACTTAAACAGAGTCACTTTTTCCTGTGGTAGAAAGAAAAAAAGTGAGCAACAAAAACGCAGAGATTACAAGAATGTTAATATTTCATAATAATGATTATTTTAAATCTTTCTGAATTGTTTTAGTATTAGATCGATCGCTGACGCACGGAAAATTGCATGAATGGACTGCAATACTTTTAACTTTATCGAAAGTTTTCAACAATTATCGAGCATTAGTGCTTCCAAGCACACACCAATTACACTATTACAATATAATTTCCTAACCGCAAATGAGACATCTACTTATCAAGCTTGCATAAATGGAATTAAATACTTTTAGGGTAATCGTCATCAAAATTTCGACAATTAACTAGTTTTAGTACTTCCGGGAACATACCAACTACACTATTACAATATAATTCCCTAACAGGCACATACCAACTTCACTACAACTTAATATGATTTTCTAACTGCAAATCTATAATCTATCAAGATTTCATAAATTAGATTTAATACTTTTAGTGTCATAGTAAAATTTTAACAATTAACTAGCGTTAGTGCTTCCTGGCACATACCAACTACATTATTATAATATAATTCCCTAAGGGGCACATACCAACTACACTACAACTTACAATATAATTTTCTAACGGCAAATCTTATATATATCACGATTGCATAAATGAAATTCATTAATTTTAGCTTCATCGTAAACTTTCAACAATTACCTAGTGTTAACAACTACTCTATTACAATGATTTCCCAACGGGTAAATATTAATTACACTACAATTACAACACACTGCACTACACTATTATTAAATAAGTTACCTATAAAGATTGCATAAACGGAATTCAGTACTTTAAGCTTTTGAATAGCGTTAGTACTTCCGGGCTCATATCAATTACAATATAATTTTCAGACCGCAAATAAAATATCTATAAGTGTCTCACAAACCACAAATGTTTATTTAATCGTTTTGCGTTGGCTTTGCGTAATTAGGCTCACTTATAAACGTTGTACAATGACGTCAAACGGAATATCTGAAAAACTTATCAAGCGCGTTTTTTTTGTTTGTTTTAAAACTTTACTTTGTAAGTATGAAGACCTTGACCGAAATAACGTATAATAATATTTTGACAATATTCTAAGAAAATCATTGTCAGATAAATCATTTATTTATTTTGTTTCATCTTGGAAAAGTAGGTACCTATCTACGTACCTAACCTACATGGATATTAGGTGCCTATACCTATAGTAAAATTAGTTGAACTGCTTGGACAACAAACAAATCCATCACCACAATTAAACCACAAAGGATTATATTGTTCTGTACGTGTTTTATTTGAATAATAACAATTCTGAAAATCTACTAATAACAGACATAATTATGTCTGTGCTACTAGTAGTTATTTCGGACAAAAAATTTAACACATCCTTTGAGTCCACGTTTTTAGTAAGAAAATTGTATAAATTGGAAATTAAACTACTTATTTCGGGTCTAAATAGCGTATATTTGTTTTTTTTTTCAAAAGAACCATCGTTTTGGGCCCTTTACAAGTCCCATGTCCTATTAGCCGTGACAATGGGACCAGTATGGCTCAATTTATATTGCAGCGGAACGGAATGGATTGTTTATAACGATATTGAACATAAAGTAATAGACTTTATTGTCAATAGTGTAATGTACAAACTATGCAGGAACCAGAAATCACGTCACGCGTCTTCCCGGAATTCTCGCGCTTGCTCGAGAAAGCTCGTGCATTAGCGCGCATTCCGCAGGTGCCGTCGGCGACGCCTGGCGTATAAGCGGAAAGTGGCGCGAAAGCAAACGCAGTGTGACGTCAAAAGGCGACGAAACAATACAAGCAAAAGGCGCGCATTCTCGCGAAGCGAGACGAAATTGACGCTTCCATTCCATTTCCGCCAATGTAAGTAATGTAAATTGAGCCTCAAGGGCCCGAAATGTTGGTTTGTTTGTAAAAACAAATACACGCGATTTAATCCGCGATCGGAAAAAGAAATAGTTTCATATTATATTTGTATAAAGAATAGTTATAAATACTCTCAACAGCCCAATAACCTGGTCCCTACCAACACGTAAGACACTAAGCTCATTCAGCAGGTTACAGTCTCCACAAAATTAAGATAACGAACACCAACCTAGTCATAACGTTGTTGTGTCGAACACATCTCTTCCTAAGCACGAACACATTGCCAGCGACCTTGTACTGCAGGGAATGCTTCTCTACTCTATCACCGAGATAACTAAAAACCGGTGCCAATCAGTTAGTCAAAGAAGCGTTTAATGATGTTACTTTCAGTTAAACATACGAGTTACAGTGTTGTGACTCAATGCCGAGTGGTTTTGGGTAAAAGTAGTTAATTGCGTATAGGGTTTATTTCGTTGCCTAGAGGTACAACATTGACGGAGAATAATTTGTATTTATATTTAGAATTAATGTAGATAAGTAATTAATGCACTTAGTTGCTTATAGCGTCTACAAAAAATATATAAAACAAATTTTAAATATGATATGGTGATTTGACCGGAATTATTTATTTATCATTTTATGCTCGTTAATAAAATGAGAACGTAAAGTGTTAATTTTTAAAATTTTGTGATCTAATGAAAAGTATGTGTGACCATAATATTATAATAATACTGAAAATCAAACCGCACAACACCGTGACGCAATGTTAAACCAGATAGGTAAAAAGGTTTTGACAAATGGGTTAATTAACCCATACATGGACAGTAGCGACGTTTACCGTGTAATTAAACACCAAAATATGATAGCCAGTACTATCATATACCCCGTTTCGCTGTATGGATCTCAAAAAATAGTACTTGTTTGGCTTTGCAGTTCGACGACCGAATACTTTTGGTGTAATTGTCGTCTGCTGCTTCTCCATAGAGAAGTATCAACAACGTACTGGCAAAATTGAATCTTCTTCTTAGCGTGCCGAGTCTGTCGTTTAAATACTCGTAATAATAATAATAATAAATCAGTGGCGTTGTACCGGTCCTCGCATGTGCAGGTGTAGGGACACGCAAGCCACGACAAAAGATGTGCCATTGTCTGCGGAGACATGCGCATTCCGTTATAATACCACCTATGCATGCTCTCCTTGCTTCGGTCGACTTGACGGCCAAATTCAACCATCCTACTACTGTCATTGGCTACTTTCTTTTATACAAGAATATCGACAGGATCTGCCATCAGTTATAAACCGTAATT